TGCCGAGGTGTCTTCTGTCTTCTTCAAACGGATCCCTTGCCGTGTTCAACGACTTGGGTCTGTTGCTGCACTTGTCACCGTGTCCCTCTGGGAAGTGAATGGAAACCGAGATAACTCTGAAGTGACTTGAGGAACCGATTATAAAACTACTATGTTTTGAACGATCGGTGATTTAAATGCGCTCCTTTTTTAGGGAAAGCGTAGGATTTTTTTACCAAAGGTTTGTGTGTGTTTGTTTTTAATATATTGGTGTCTGGAAAGAGGACTCTTAACGCAGCAGCTCAGTAACTTCACCCTGTGATTAGGATTTTTCATATGCACTTGTACCTCTGATGACACTTAATAGATGAGGCCATAGCAATTTAGGTGCGTGCGCTTCACTTTCCTGGCACGTAGAAGCCGGCGGAAGAAATCCTGTCTGCTGCCTCAGCATTAAAGGTGTGCTCTGTGCAAGAGCAGGTATAAAAGCACTTGTGCGGATGAGGATCTCTTACTGACTGGAGTTAAACTGCACGGTGAGGGAGAGGCACGGTGGGGTTTGGGTGGGTGAAGTAAGTAGGAGTAGTTTCTGTGGTCTGAACACGGAACGTTTGCGGGCTGTGGGATCCTCACTGGCAAAGAGAGAGTCTGCTTTATGTAGTACTGCTTCCACTTCGGTCACGTAGAAAATAAAATTCGGAAGTTACTAAAACGGCAGTAGGAAATGTATTTCCGACCTTTGCTTGACTTGCCTGTTTGTGAGCAGATCCATGTACCAGTAATCTTGAAACATAAAACTTAGGATGCTTGTTTTCTCTTATTAGTATGTTCTCATTTTCTTGAAAGAAGCTGTGGTTCTGTTAAGGGATTGAGTTGCTGCCAAACCCTACGCTTCTCCAGATAATTCTGTAGATAATACTTTCTACGCTGCTTTTAGGGGGGGTAAGGTTACCTGTAGGGCGATACACGTTATGTTTAGGTGTTGCAATGGCAAAGAAACCACACAAAAAAATATGTAGGTTTTGCATTTGCTACATTTGTGGTTAGTGGCTGCTTTATTTCTTGGTGGTTTTGGTCCTCCCTTGTGTCTCTCTTTCCTTGTGAGCCTTCTGCTGGCTGGAAGGAATCAGTTTGGTGGTTGTAGGAGTTCCAGCAAGGCAGACTTAGCTCTTCAGCTGGGCAGGGATGGATTAAGTGAACTGCACCCATGGTACTTTACCGTTTTATGAGTGACTTTAACTGGATGATTTACCTATTTGCTAGATACTTGAGGTTTCTTTTATCACGTTGTGTAAGAATGGGAACTTCTTATACAAGAAGAACCAAGAACCAAAGTCTTGCACAAGAACCAAGTCCCTAAAGAAAATTCTGCTTTGATAGTGGATCTCCTCAATACCAGAGTTGTCTGTAATTTGGTAGGCTGCATTTCTGTGTCAGTGTGTACGTGTGAAGACCTAACCCAAAGGGCTTGGTGCAAGAGCTTGTCGCCTTTTTGTCGTCCTTGTTTGCTTTTTTCCAACTATATAATACTGATTGATAGCCACAAAGTGCTCTTACAAGTCCTGGAAACTCCCATGTTTTAAGTGTCTTCAACTCAGCCAAGCTGTTCTGTTGAAGCTCAGCAAAGCTACTTGTGTAACTGATAAAGTATCGAATGTGTGATTTGCAAAGTGCTTTGCAGTCTTTTTGGTAGAAGGTGGTGATAAATGTAGGATACTGTTAAGCTGATTATAGTGATCAGACTATTTCACAACTTTTATATTTCACAACTTTCTGTATTTGTAGTATATTTCAATCTGAGTGCATCTGGCTAAATAGATTAAAAGAATACTTAACTACTGGGGAAAGTGTGTGATGGTGGCGAATGGCTTTTTATGGGGCTTTTCTTAAAAATAAAATAATTTATTTATTTTAAACTACTACCAATTCATTACAAAATGAGTTTGGGGTTATTTAAGAAAATATAAAGCCTTCCTTCTCTCTGCACCAGTCTGCAGCATATGAGTGTTGCACTGGAAGGAAAACTGAGCTGCTTTACAAGGCAGATTTAAACAACGTTAGCTTGAACTGACTTGAAAGGTGAAGCATGTATTTTACCAATACAACCAAAACATATTAAGTTGTCTAAGCTGGGAGGGCAGCATTTTCTGCGGGTGTCCTGCTTTTGCCTGTGGGCAGAAGTCCAGGTCATCTTGGAGCTGTCTTCTTCCCAGCAATTTCAAAATGCTCAGAGTAAATATTATAACTTCCTTTTTTGTACACTACAACATAAAGGGAAAACTGATTTCCCCACCTCCCTCCTGTTTGGTGGGGTTTTTTTCTCCCTAGTCATCTGTTGAGGGTGTTTCAAACTAGTGTCACAGGTTATTTCAATAGTAACCAGGCTTTAGGCTTCCCTTCTCAGGAAAAAATTCACTGCCAAAATGATTTGAGGACCCTTTGACCAGTTTCCCTGTGTAGTATCTAACGAATCGGCAGCTTTTAGGTGGTGTTTTCAGGTATACTCTGAGAACAGACACCTTGTGAAGGCTCTGGGGGAAAGAGAGGTGCTTCTTTAATTCACATTTTCTAGTTCCACGTGGGGACTGGAACTAGAGACAGCTACTAGAAACAGCAACAGGAGCAGGTTGGGGCTTGGTAGTATTACATAGGATGTGCTAGAGGTTTCGTAGGTGGCAAGTGTGTGTAACTCTTTCTGGGTTGGATTCAGAGCATGAGCAGGTCAGTTGTGCTCTTAAACGGCTTTGCCTTTTTATATAGGCTGGTGTAATCCAGCTGAGTTTGGTCAAATTAATCCTGATTTACACTGAGCGTGAATGAGATCAGAATTAGGTTTCTGGGCTTTTTGTGTTGACTAATCCTTGCAGCGCACTGAATCAGAATGTGAACCCTGTGAAATTGGGGCAGCTAATTTTGCAGAACTTTAAGAATGTTTTTCATGTGTTCTAACAGGTGGCTTTTTTCCCTCCCCCCCCCCTTTTTTTTGTGTGTGTTTTTTGTTTTTATGATTCAAGTAAAAGACCCGTGTTGGTTCTTCAGAATGACTCTCTCTACTCTCAGAGACGTCCTTACACCAGTGAAGATGAGGCCTGGAAAACCTTTCTTGAAAATCCCCTTACAGCAGCTACCAAAGCTATGATGAGCATCAATGGTGATGAAGACAGCGCAGCTGCCCTGGGACTGCTGTATGATTACTACAAGGTAGATTGGCGTGGGTACGCTCCGGCAGCCAGCGGAGCTCTTGTTCCACCTCTCATTTGCTAGAGGATTTTACAGAAGCTATGAATAGATCATGAGAACTTTAAACTATGTGGGCTTTAAAAGGAAAAAAAAATCCACCTCCCTTCTTCTGAAAATTGGTTTATTTTTAGGTCAGTAAAATAAGATCCACTGGATCTTAATGTAGTGTGTCAAAAGCTTCAGCAGAGCTTTGCCTGTCAAGTCCAGGTTCTGCAGGTGGCAGTATATTAGTAGAAATAGTGATGAAGAGTGAGACTTAGGGAACATGTCCCTGTCTGAATGTAAATACACAACGAGAAGGAAACTCCTCCTTTTGCTCATCTGATCCCTGTTCTGGTGGGACTGTTTGCTTCTGCTGGAGCTTTGATGTGCTAGCTTAGTCTCAGCTGATACTGAGCTATAACTACAGATCTTTGGTGGTGTGTGCGGCAGAAGTGTCTGCTTGAAGGAGTTGCTGTCTGCATCCTTCTAACCTTCAGCTGCCGTGATCTGTTAATCCTTGACAGTTGTGGTTGTCTTCCCCAACATTCACCATCTGCTCAGAGACATGTGCCTTCCTAGGTGCTCAGAGGTGAGTTGAGCACAGTCAAACAGGTAACCTTCAGGTCTGCATAGCATACCTTTTGCTGAGCTTTCTTTACCAAACAGCAGCAGTCAGAGCCAGGGTAGTTATCTCCAGTCCACGTCCAAGTCAGTGGAAAGCAGTGGGCATTTCTAGGCCAGCAGGTGTCCTTGCTCGTGGTGGATGCCTGCGTTAACGGTGGCCTGGGTCACTGGGTGGAGATACCTGTTTTTCCTTTGCTGAGCGAGCAGGGAGGCCACGAGGCTGACTTGGCTTGTGTGCCTGACACTTCAGTTGGTGTCTTTTAACAGTAGTGAGTGCAATTGCCAACCACAGTACATTCTTTACGCAGTAGGAGAGGTTGCCTTATGCATCTAAAATCCTTGCCTTGCCCTTTTAAGAGTTGTATGTGTCTTAACTATTGAAATATTCTTGTAATGCTCAGTATAGAGATTAGCACTCCACACACACGACTGAATGCCATGGACTCGCTGATGTGGATGTTATTCAGCTAGTTTTGTGAGAAAACTGGCTTTCTGCTTTGTGCCTGTGCTTGCTGTGGTTTCTGGAGGGAGGTTTGGGGAGGTGAGGAAGGGGGGAACCAACAACAAACCCCAACCACTTTCACCAGAATGATTTTAATCCACAAAATCAATTTTGATTTCTAAGCATGTAGATTACAAAGAGAACACTGGTGTTGATCCTTTGTGCTCAGCAAAGCAGAAGGGATTTGCTGTACATTATTGTCTAATTTGGGGTTTCCTCTTCTGTTTGGGCATCAGTAAGAGCAGGTATGCTGCATGCTTCGGTGAGGCAAAATGGTTCGAGGTTGAAAGATTTATTGAGGGCTATTATGAAGTAATGCTATAGGGATGATGTCTAGGCATTTCTAATACGCCCCCTCTGCAATACAAAAGGCAGCTGATGAGATCACCTTTGTATTAAATGAAACAAAACACAGACAACAACAAAAAAAAAACCCCAAAACCGAACAGCTCAAGGGTTTTTTTCTGTTTGACTAATGGGCTGCCCTGGTAGCTCAGCTGTGGTTAACCAGGCCTTGCAGGAAACACATTTTTGATCACTTTTTGGAGTTTACTCAATGCACTGGGAAGACCCTTCTTTTTCAGTGACTAGTTAGTCTTGGCCTCCTAGCAGTCTCCAGCTAGAGGTTCTCCAAATTTTGTTGGTTACCGTGGAAAAATCCAACAATTCTGATTTTATTGGAGATTGCAGGTTATATGGAAGAGCCAGGACTTGGGTTTTAGTCATGGACTGTTTAGAGAAATATGCTGTTCATGCAGGTATGCTATCAGCATTTCGGTTAGCAATAAAGTGACTCCCCACATTGCACCCAGGCTGCCTAACAAGGGCAGTATCTGAGCAGGCTTCAGCAAAGGAAGGTGGTTGGAGTTTAGTCCTCCTTACACCAGAAGGTGCTTGCTTTGCTCATTTAGGAGGTGTGTTGAGGGTGACAAAAGTCATAGGCACTATGTGTGGGTTTGCAGAGGAGCTTGCATGGACTTACTGTAGGGTCAAGGTGGACTTGAGCACCATGGGCTTGTGCCAGTTGTGGCAAGAGCCATTCGGGTTGCTGGAGTGCTGGCTGTGTGCTCCTGTGAAGCAAGCTGCCACAGGTCAAAAAGCTCATCATCTTCTGTGTGGCTTCTGAATGCAGTGTGCATGTGTCTGTGTGCGGATGAGGTGGCTTGTGTTATCGGTGTTGTGGTATGTGGTGTTTTCAGGGCAAATCCTACCCCTGGTAAAATACAAAGAGCAGTATTGAGCTGTCTGAAATCCAGAGCAGTGGTGGTTACCTTTTGTTAATGAAAGATTTAATACAGTTTGGGCCAGTGTGTTGTACATAGGCATGCACAAATATGAACTATAGCATCCCAATACACTTACTGAACCTGCCTTGAGTGGTCTTTGAGGAAGTGGCCTAGAGAGCATGTGTTCCTGGGGAAGGGGCCATGGAGCAGCCTTGAGCTACCCAGGAATTCATGGGGCATTGCCTGGCATCCCAAAGTGTGTGAGCATCTGTAATGCAAATAATGATGCCTATCAGGCAGCAATGCTTCCTTAATTTGACCAAATGGCTCTGTTTAGAGGAGGTAGTTTTTTCGGGGTTTTTTTTGTATGGGAGGTAGAATGCAATTACAGTATGTCTTGTATTTCCCAGGTTCCAAGGGAGAGGAGATCTTCAACAGCTAAACCAGAGGTTGAACATCCTGACCAAGACCATAGCAAAAGGTATTAGTTTTTATTATTGTGTGTCTTCTTATCTCCCTTCCCTCCTAAACCACCAGAGCTGCTGAAAGTAACTTGCTGCATTGCAGTGTTGTGCTGGAAGAGAGGAATTGTTTGCTTTTACTTTGTGCCCTTTGCTTTTACTCTTGTGCTGCCCCAGGAACAGGATGGGGATTGGACCCTAGTGTGGAGAGCTGAGGCCCAAACTGCTTCTCTTTGCCATCCACCTGCTTTCTATGTACTGGTGTCATACAGTCAGTGTAGCAAAATCTGCTCTAACACCAGGCTCTGCCTGGAAGCACAGGCACCCCTTCTGAAGGCTGTAGAGGTGACTGACTGGGTGACCCTTTTATTTTTGCATGTGGTTGCCTCAGTTGCTCACTGCTGCTTTTGTTCTCGGGCACCAGCAGCATTGCTTCTTCATGCACGGGCTGATAGGGAAGGACTTCAAAGTGCTTATGATTTAGTTTTGGTTTTGTATTGTTTGGGGACTTCTTTTGTATGTTCTAGAACTCCTTTCTTCCTTTTCCTGTCTTTCATCTTTCATGCCTCCTCAGCAGAAGATGATACTGCTTAGGTAAATATTACAAATGTGAGGTTTGTTCAAGCTGGGCTTCCACTCCTACCATCCTCTTCCTTTGGACAGACTAGAATGCTGTAAGGACTTAAAGTGAGGTTTTGTGGTCTGCCTGAGCCGATTAAATGACTTGTTTTGAAGAGCAGTCTGGTTCTCAGTCATGTGTTCCCACTGCTCCCCTTGTACCAGCTGTGGTCTTGCACTGACCCATCACCTAGCAGGTAAAAAAAGAAGTGGCTAGCTTTCTGCCGGTGGAACAAGCCAAACTGGCTCGCTGGGGAGATTGGGGGAGCGTCAGAATTGGTGCAGAGGAGAGGGCAGGACCACCTTGTGGGGAGAGAGAAAGGGAGGGCGTGCTTTCTTAGTGGCTGCTGGCTGTGAGGTCAGCTTAGCCAGAGATCTCAGTGTTGTCCTGGCAGAAATGAGTGTGGTGGGCTGGCGACTGGCAGGTTATGCAGAGCACTTCAGGGGTCTTGGTGTGGGTTTTCTCAGGAGGTTGTGTGTGAAAGAGGGGTGTGATTTCCCTGTTAGTGGTTCCCAGGTGGTGCGCAGTCCCAGGGCAGATGAGCAGCAGCCTTGCTCTCAGTCCTTCTCCACCGGGCAAAGAGCAGTTTCATGGAGCGTGCCAGTGCATGGTGGGAAGGGCCTTGAAGCGCTTAGTTTTAGACGACTGCTTTCCAAGCAGTGAGGATCTGGGCTGTGAACCCTCACTCTTTGCTCTAGGGTAATTCATCTCCAAGATGGGGTGTTAGCAGTGGGTGAGGTGGGTTGGTTGTTTGGTTTTTTTTTAATGAGTTTCTCAGCTTTTCAGGTTAGGATGGAGGTGTTCTGCACAGGCAGGAGAGTTGGCGTCAGCTGTCCTTGTCCAAAAGGCTGAGAAGTATTTCTAGGTCTTGTTTAATGAGAAAATGAGCTGTATAATTTATGCACTGTTATTTTTTTTTTTTTCCTTTGCTCTTTAAAGGAACAGCATCCCAAATGTGACAGAACAGTCACTCATTTCTGCTGGAGAAAACAGAGTCCAGGTTCTGAAAAATGTGCCTTTCAATATCGTCCTTCCACACACACCCCAGATGGGCATGGATAAGAGAGGCCACCTTACAACCCCGGACACAACAGTCACTGTTTCAATTGCCACGATGCCCACCCATTCCATCAAGACGGAGACACAGCCCCATGGCTTTGCAGTGGGCATCCCACCAAGTGTTTACCATCCGGAGCCCCCTGAGCGGGTGGTGGTCTTTGACAGGAACCTCAACCCTGACCAGTTCAGTTCCAACACCCAGCCTCAAAACTCCCAGAGGCGAACACCAGACTCCACCTTCTCAGAGACTTTCAAGGAGGGCGTGCAAGAGGTACCAAGAGAGGCAGTCACTGTGTGTTTGTGTGTGTGTGTGTCTTGATCTGGATGGGGAGATCCAGTTCCGTCTTTAATTGTTCTTGTTACGTGAGCCAGAAATCTGCCCAGTGATTGAGGAATAGAAGACTTTCTCAGAAAGGTGCATAAGAATAACTGAGTAAATAAAACCTTCATAACATGAAATAATTATCAAAAGCAAATGACTAATCTCACTAGTGACAGAGCCTTTGGTCTGCAGAGTGTGGAAATAGTTATCTTGATCCTCAGTGCTGCGCCAGGTTTTGCAAGAGTTCAGCACTCCGTGGTGCCTTTGTGGGTACCGAAATGAAGCGACTGTGCCTGTAAGCTTGCTTACTGCTAGTTTCTAGGCGTGGTGTGTGTCACTGAGAAATAGTTGGCTTATTTAGGGTCCTTGAGCGAGAGTTAAACATGGATGAAAATCTATAGGTTTTGTGTTATGGTACCAGCTGGAAACAAAAACGTGTGTTTTGATTTTTAAGCCAGACCTCGAGGAGCTGTGTAGCTATGCCCTTTCTTTGAGATTTGGGAGAGCTTTAAAATATTGCTCTAAGCTGACTTAGAAGGTTTGTGAGATGTTGTGCTTGGTTGACACCCAGAAGTTTTGGATTAAAACCCTGCTCAAGTGTCCTGTTTGTACAGACCAAAATAACAGTTGTTATTGGTTGATCAATTTGCCTGCTGTAAGTTCTGTGGTCGTGAATATCTGTTTAATCTTGACTTCTCTTGTTGCTGCTGTGTTAATTGATATGTTGCTTTGTTTTATGTCTACCCCAGGTGTTCTTTCCTACTGAACTGAATCTCCGGATGGCCAACATGAATTCAGAAGATTATGTTTTTGACAGCATTTCTGGGTAATGCTTTAAGGCCCCTGTTCACCCATACCCTCCTGTTCTTTTATAGTTGTCCATGAGCAAGCAGAGCAGTACAGCTCATCCCTTTCTGTGCTAAGTCTGTATCAGGCACTGGAGGGGCTGTGGATCTCAAAACCTGTAACAGTGTCTGCTTATTTGAATTTCACAGTTGAAAATCCTACCTGTATCTGTAAGGAAAACTACTTTCAGGAAAACTACCTGCACGGTTGGAAATGCCACCCAGTTTTAGTTGATGTGCTGTACCAGCTCCCCATCCCATGGGAAGGTGTAGTGCTGTCTGTCAGCTCCTGAGTGGTCTTGGAGCTGGGTTTCATCCGTGTCCCTCTCCCTGGCCTGCTTGCTTTGCTTTCTCCCTGCTGGAAATCCACAGCAGAAATAGGAAGCATGAAACTCATCTGAACTCCTGAGGGAGGGGAATAAACTGGTTGTTCAATTAGTTGCAACTACACCAAGATGGAAGAAAAGACCTTGGCTACCGAATGGCTTATTAGCTTGTGAATTTAATTTAATTTAATTGCTAATAGATACTTTTCCATGAGAGCAGCTTGCTGCTCTCAGCCTGAATAGGGAGCTTCCAGTCTTGCCTCCTGTATCCCAAGATACATCTTGGGATTTAGTTTGCCAAGAACTTCTCTTAAATGTTCATTCATGAAGGAAAAGGTTGAAAAAGGGGCTCATCCTGTTTTCCAACTTCCTTGCCTGTTAATGGCTTAATGAGTCAACTAACGACTTTGGAATTTCTCCAAATTAAATGTGGAATGTTTAATCGGCTTTCCAGGAAAATGCTTTAGCGATCGGTGCCCTCTTTGCTCCGTAGGAATAACTTTGAATACACTCTGGAAGCCTCCAAGTCCCTCCGACAGAAGCCTGGGGACAGCACGATGACTTACCTGAATAAAGGTCAATTTTACCCCATCACGCTGAAAGAAGTCAGCAGCAGTGAAGGAATCCATCACCCCATCAGTAAAGTCCGAGTGAGTGGCAGTTCTTGTGGTTTCTTAGGAAAGAGGGTGTGTACAATGGCAGCCTTAAACTCTCCCAAAGTGCAGTAATCTAAACCAGAGCATCAGCACTAAGGCCAGCTTACCCACTCTCTTACGTCAATGTTCATTCCTTTGCTGTCCACCTACTTCCAGACCAACCCATCCTGGCTCAGTCTGTAAAGAAGTGGTGTCAGCACTTGTGCAAGGTGATGCAACACCTGGAATGAGATCCTTGAACTGCAGTTAGGAGAGCAGTTCTGCTCATCTCTGTTTATGACCCAGAAAGTACTGCTGTCTGCCTTCCTATTTAGCAGCAGTGTGCCAGGTATACTGTGGTGCATCAAGTTGAAATGCCTAAAGCAGAAAACCTGACACCAACAAGAACTTCCAAAGCAAATGTACTCTCTGGCCTTTTCTTTCACGTGTTTGCGTGTTTGGTTTGGGTTTCTTGTTTGCTTGGTGGTATTAGTTTGGTTGGTTGCTTTTTTTTATCTTACCCTTTCCCCCTTTCACAGAGTGTCATCATGGTCGTGTTTGCTGAAGACAAAACAAGGGAAGATCAGCTCCGGCACTGGAAGTACTGGCACTCAAGACAGCACACAGCCAAACAAAGATGCATTGACATAGGTAAGGAACACTCTCATTGCTGATGTCAAACTTCAAACCTAATTCTTTGGCAAGGTTTGGGTTTTGGCTAATTCTTTGTTATTTTAAGGAGCCTGTAGATCACACTCTCTGCTGTCCATAGCTTTGCTGAAAGCTCAGAGAGAGCTTTTGATTGCTTGGAACCAATGCTGTAGTTTTCAGAACTCCTTAGAGAGGCTGATTCTGGGAGGATTTTGGTTGGTGAGCAGTCTGAGTTTAGGGTTTTGCATTGGGAGATCTAACTCTCCCCTCCAAACCATAGTTGCTTTGACATATCCTGGTGCTTGTAGCAAAATCAAAGCTTGTAGACTCTCTGGCTCTCCTGAATACTGTGTTTCTTCAAAGGACAAGATCCTTGTAGAAATACCTGGACATTAGTGATCCTTCTTGCCACAGCTTCGCTCACAACCTTTGGTACATGTGAAAAAAGAAAACACTGCAAATCTCCACTTGCCTCCAGACAAGGCTGGGGCTGGCTGGCTTCCAGCCTTCTGGGGCTGAAGGCTGGGTTGTACTCCTCGTCCCTTCCTTTTGTGAATAAGAGCAGGGATTAATCACTTGGCACTTTAAGCAGACGCGCATGCAAATCTTTGTTTGTTATTGAAGGAGTTTTATTGAGGGCTTATGCCCCTGCCATACAGGCTAGAGTTTCCCCAACATAGCTGGTTTGTGGCACAGGACGTGGTATTTCTCGCTGGTTTCTGGTTTGGAATTTCTGGTGAGACCCATTTTTGTCCTTCCTTCTGTTTGTCGGTGTTTTTTTGGTTCTTGTACAAGAATAATTTCCAGCCTTTTTAATGATCCGTTTTAAAGTATAGTTCAGCTTCCTTTACCCCCAAGGGGTTGCTGAGGAGTTGCAGTTTCTGGCTGCGTTGTGTGAGTCCTTAAGGACTCTAGATGGTATCGCCTCTCCCTCATGCATCTTTCTTTCTAACAGCTGACTACAAGGAGAGCTTCAACACCATCAGTAACATTGAGGAGATCGCGTACAATGCCATATCCTTCACTTGGGACATCAATGAGGAAGCCAAGGTATGTGACCACGATTCTATTTATTTCCTGTCCTTTTAGCAGATTCGGGGGCTGGGGGAGGGGAAGGGTGTGTGGCCTACCTGGTGATTAGTATGTAACAAGTTTGTTTACGCTCTGACATTAGGCAAAACCTTCTGGCTATTTCTTAAGAGGGTTTGCATGTGCAACTGTGGAGAGCTCAGCAACTGCTTTAAGGTTCTTGGCAGAGCTGCCTACCTGACAGACAAGTACTGACAAAAGGAAGCGCAGAGTGTTTCCAGAGCAGATGAAGCGGTGCGGGAGGTGTGATGGAGCGTAGCTGGGCTTGGCAGTGAGCACAGTCTGCTGGGGGATCCCTATGGGACACTGGGGGCAGCTTCTGAGGGAGTTAAGGCTGTGGCAATGAGCTCACCTTTAGTAGAAGAGGGAGTAGCTGCTGCTGTTGAGCTTCCAAAGCATGTGTTGCTGAAACTGCGGATCCCAACACCCAGTGACCTATTTCAGGCTGGAGCAGCCTCCTGGTGAACTCTGGTTTGGTGTGTTTTTCAGAACTATGGGCACTGTGGTAGGTGTGTAAGTATGGACAGCTTCCCTAACTAGCAACTAACTGCAGCTGTTTGAAGCCACTTCAGCTTTTGAAAAAGGCCCATGCATCTTCTGGGTGCAAGGACAGCAGGTCAGAGAGTGCAGTCACCTCAGTTCCAAAGCATTTCCCACCAGTTTTTTGCTGGAGTCAAAATGCAGGAGTTCTCTTTAGAGGCTTTCATTACTGCCTGGTTTGTTGTTAAAAATTGGGAATGGTTTCCTCCAAGTTTTTGGAGGTTTGCAGGAGGCGCAAGGGATCACGTCACTGCACAGAGCTCACTGTCACCACAAGCTTTGCTCTGTGCTGCACAGGGGCTGTGCAGAAAAGATAGGGAGAGGTTGTATGGGGACTGCTGTGAGGTTTCAGCTCTGGGAGCAGTTTGGGATGCTTGGCAGGTAGCAGTGAGGGGCTGTGTGTGCTGCTGCTGGAAGTGCTGCCTTGCATCATGCGTGACACTACTTGTGAAGCTGGTGTTGGGTGCCAGGCTTCCCTGTTCTCCAGATTTGGGTTCAGCTGGGTTTAGAGGTATGGCAGGAAGGCCCTACCTGCTGGAGGATGCTAAAAGGCTGAAGACTTCTGAAGCATGCTGTGTGAACGAATAGATGAAGCTTCAAAGGGCTGTCAAAAGGAGGCACTAAATATTCCCAAAATGTTGTTCTGCTGCCATAGTTAGCCTAAAATTAAAGGAACCCAGGTAATCAGTGTCTGCAAGGTACTTGAGGGCTTAGGAATTGCACACAGGGAAGAATCATGCAGACAGGGTGATGATGTTGGGTCCACAGGAGTTGGAAGCACTCCGCAGCTCTGCATCTGCCTCTCTGGTGGCAGAGCCACTCAATAGCAGTAGGGACAGGGCTTAGAGCTGGTGCTGAGAAGCCTGTGGCTGCCCCAAAGAAGACCATCCCTTCCCACCAGGTGACAGAGCCCAGCCCTGTGAAGCAGGTGGTTACTGCCCTGATACTCTACAGACCCCTGAATGAATAGTTTCAGTCTATAGTAAAATTGCTAATTGCAGCTTGAAAAGATCTAAGGACTCTTCATGGTGATATTTCAGCTCAGGGCTGAACTTGGTGGGATGAGGTGGTGTGGGGAGGCGTAGCTACAGAGGCAAATTTGCTTCCAGATTCTCAGTCTTTGTATGTGAGATTGATGCACTTTGAGTACTGGTTTGTATGAACCTGCAGAGTGGACTGGTGATGCCAAGAGTTGCAAGCCTTGGCTCCTGGGATCAGAATCGTGCTAAGACAAAAATACTCTGGACTTTAAGTAATCGGCATTTTTAGCAAGTGCTCTTTGTGTTTAAGCATCTGTTTAACTTCTTCCCCCGCCCCGCTCCGAGTGGATGTGTTTTGTCACTGGTTGGATTTCTCACCAGTAGAGCTGCAGTTCTTTCTCAATTCCTGTGATCTTATCAGGAGATGCCTGAGCCAATTTCAACAATTTTTATTGCATGGTTCATTTACCTTGCATGCACTCTCTTTTATTTTCCTATTCTTTTTTTTTCCTTTGTGTGTTTCTCCCTCCCCCAACAAAAAAAAAACCCAAACAAACCCAGAAGTCTTAAAGTATATGAGGAGAGCAGGGAATAAAGAGAACTGAGTTTCTGGTGCTACAGAAAGTCCTTCACAGTAATAAATAGTGTCTTAAGTTTAATAACAGCAGCGGTGCTGCATACGTGGTATGTTTAGCCAGCCAACAAGCCTTGATTATTAGAAGTTTGCTTCCTGAGCCCTGGAGTTACCTGGTTCAGAGCCAGGTGATTCTTCTGGGGTTGCTGCTTCTCCCGTTTCCCTCTTGCTTCCAGTTTGCTGCAGGAATGATTTGATCCTGCGCTGCAGTGTCCCATGGAAAGTGATGAGGCTTTGTGTGTGGGGTTGCTGATGGAATTATTCATTTAGGCACCCAGGGCTGTGAGTGTGTGCTGTATTTAAGGTAGAAATAACATGCTATCAGAAGAAGCTGCCCCTAGCATCTCTGGGACCAGGTACTTGCCCTCCTTGTGCTAGCCCTCATCATGGGGATGTGCAGGAATATCATACCTCTGCTGCCTTGTCTGTGCAGGAGGGTGTCACCTGCCTGAGAGAGTGCTTTGCCAGTCCCCTTGGGGCACTTGGAGATTTTGTAAAATACACGTTTTGGGAGAAGAAACGCTGTTTTCGGGCAAAGTGAGTCGTGTGCTCCCTCTGTAGCAGGGAAAATGTGCGTATTTTGCAGCTGCAGGGTTGGGGGATGGAAAGGATGTTTCAGGTGCCCTCAACAACGGTATTTCCCAGTTGAGTTGTGCTGGGAGAGCTGCGGGCAGTGCTGGGGCTCTGGGCGCTGGATGCAGCAGGCAGGCCTGGCTCTGCACGGGTGGAGCTGGCTGTGCTGCTGTGCTCTTTGTGAGTAGGTGTGTGTAGAAACCGGGGGTGTTTCATGCATGACAGACACTTCCCACTCTGGGATCAGCCTTTGTCCGTGGTTTCAGAGCTAATGCTGTGTGCTGCTTTCTGGCAGCTCCTCTCTGCCCTCTTCTGTTGCTTTGGGACATCACAGGAGCTTCTAGAAGCGGCTGCTTTATAGAAGAGTATGGGTTAAGTAGTCTATGACCTTTGCAAGAGTGCGTTCAAGCTGGAAAAGAGCCCAGGAGCCAAAGCCTCTCTGCTCTGAGACAGTGAGGGGAGCTGAGGATGGGGAGGAAGGCCGGGCTTCGAGAGGGAAATAAAGACTGAAGTGGTTCTTCTGAGATTGGAAGGAGAGCAAAGGCAGGATTGGAAAGATTGACAGGAGATGCTGCAGAGTGAGGAAGCAGTGATTCAGATGGGCTTCCAGGGAGTAACTGGATGAGGAGACAATCATGCTTTGGAGAAGAAAAGGGGAGATGGTGAACTGGTGAGTTGTGAATGGGATATTTAGGAGAGCCAACATAGCTGCTCAGTCAGGACTCATCCTGATTGGGTGGAAGCATGGTCTGATGAGTGTCACAAAGATGTGTAACTGATACTTGCATGCAGCAGGTAATGCTAGAGTTACCCTGAGGCTTGTGGAGACTTCAAACGCTTTCCCACCCCATCCTGGACGTCTGCTGTGTTGGGCAGACAGCTGAGGTGGGGTTCCTCTGCAGAGAAGCTTTTAGATGTCTGAACACAAACTCGTCATCTTTTGCTTCTATGACTTCATTAGGGATGGGGTGTCTAGAGCTGGAATGGAGCTTTCTCTGGAGGTGCCTGCTCCTCCTTGTTGACTGAGCAGGCTTGGACATCTTTAAATCAGGGGATTTTAAACCTAGGGAAGGGGAGTCCTGTCCTTGCAGCCCTTCTTGTGTCTTTGACCTCCATATGTCAATCAGGAGAAGTGTTTGTAGGTTCAGGTCATGAGTTTTTGAGGCTGGGAACCGTCTCTTCCCAGGTCTGTACAGCATGCCTGGTTCTCCTTCTCTTAGCTGGTATCCATTAAAGATCTTCTAATGAAAGTTGCCAGCATGTGCATGGTTAAATGTACATTTCTTCTGAGTGTTTCCTGCTACTCTTCATGGTGTTGGCTGTTGTCCTGTTACCTCCGTTGTGTTACCCGTTAGGCTGTGAAGCAAATTCTCTATCCCTTAACTCTGGCCTGAGGACATGGCCTGCTCTCAGGTCAGTGGCAGTTGAACAATCTGGACAGATTGGTTTCCCCAGGGTTAACTGGCTTTGCTGGATCTCACTTTGCTCAGATCCTGTCTGAGTTCCTGCCCTGTGGAGCAGGAGGGTTGGGGCCTTATGTCTAAACAGGGCAAGTTTTTGACTGCACGGTGATTGCAAGAGCCTCCTTGCTCTATTTTTGCAGTCCTAACAGTTACAAGGGCCCTGCTGTTGTGCTGGGTCACCCTTCCACGTTTGCCAGCGTGTCCCTTTTGAAACCTAACGTTGCTTCCAGCAGCAACCAGAGAGGGGGCCCCGGTGGAGGTCTTCTGTCTGGCTTGCTTTAGGCTGGATGGTGGGACTGTGGCCAAAAATGATGTCACTGCACATTAAGGGCTCTATTGTCCTCCCACTCCTTTCCTCCACCAAAAAAAAAAAATAAAAATAAAAAGGCATTGTAAGCCAGATGCTCTGTGTGAAAAATCCTTTTTCTAAAAAGGGAAACGTGGTGAGGGTGCTTCAAGCTGGAGAATGTCACCGTAGAGCTTTTCGCTGTGTTTCCACCAAAGGGAAGGTGCTGTGGTCTCTCTTCAGTGACACCCTCAATGACAGAGCAATTAAACAATGCTGCTTTTTTTTTTTTTTTTTTTTTCCCTTCCCTTCCCCCCCTTTTGTTTTGGTCTCTTGTCTAATAAAGGTGCGACAATCCTGTGTTAAGTTAATTTGCAGCTAATTTGGGTTGCCCTTTTGAAATAGTAGATTAGGCAAGAAAGGTGGTCGATTGGCAGATCCTTGTGTGTTAACTTCTGGGGCAGGTCTTTTTGTTCACAAGAGCT